ATTAGGGGTTTGGGGTTCATGGCTTTGAGGTTTAGGGTTTCGGGGTTTAGGGTTTGGGGTTCAGGGCTTTGAGGTTTAGGGTTTCGGGGTTTAGGGTTTTGGGGTTTAGGGGTTTGGGGTTTAGGGTTTCGGGGTCAGGGGTTGAGGGCTGCAGGGTCTGGGCCGGGATGTAGGCGGCCGGTTCCGGTTTAGGGTTTAGGGTTTAGGGTCTAGGGTTTCGGGTTTAGGGGCTCCGGGACAGGTGGGCTTTCAAAAACAACTCTGGGATAGATTTAAAGCTTTGTGCTGCTATCCCGTCCAGGTCCAGCAGGGTTTCAGAGGGTGGGTGTGTACGATGGTTCTACAGGGGCGCTGGGCGAGGGTGTTTGGCTTAGGTCTAGGGACAAAAGGCTACCTTGTCTAGGTGTTGTGCTGGGTGTGTGTTTCGTTTAGGGTTTCCTAGTTAACATGGAACGCTTCTCTGGGCTTTATGGTTGAGGCATTTAGCATTTAGGGTTAGGTTTCAGGCTTTCCGGGCTTAATGTTAGGGTTGAGACGTTTGAGCGCAGAGGCATGTTGGAGACTTGTTCGCTGCTTTCCGGCTCTATAGAGGGCTTAGATTGTGTTTCAAGGGCTTCGCGTAACTAAGGGTGTGCAAAATCGGTTTAGGGTTTAGGGTTTAGTCGAGAAGTGGGATTCGAGCTGAGTCTCGTTTACTATAGGGATGACGTACTCTGTCGGGGTCCAAAGACAGTTACCCGGAGCAGGGAATTGAAAGGGAGAGTTCCCTCTGATGGGGGCATGGACTGGATACCCTACCTTAACCCACAAATAACGTACCCGTTTACGGGTTTCATAGTTCGAATACGGAGCCCTACAAAAGGGCAGGCTTTACAGGGTCTACAGCAGGTGAGTAAATGGCATTGGAGATACAAGCAACAGACTCAGCCTGCCTGAAACCCCTAAGAAACCTCCAAGAATGGAAGCTCCTATGCTTTGGGTTTGTGCAAGGTTTGGGGTCTTAGGGTATTGTTTGGAGGTTGCGGGTTTTCGAAGCGTGGGGGGTAGTAGAATTTCAATCAGCATTTTTCTACGTAGGAGTGTTGTGCAAAGCATCTATTATCCAACGTGTGTTGCTGCAGCGATGGGTACTCTTTCCACGAGAAGTCTTATCTGCCATTGCATTTGGCTCTTTTAAACTGCTGTTTCACATATGGCTCGAACCCGAACCCTACGCCATCCCACACTTTGCCGAATAAGCCCAGACCCCTGAACCAGTTACCCAATGCGCTGGCCCAGAACGTCCCTCCCAAGCGTGCAAGCCGGTGGCGGTCAGAACGCTGACTCCGTGCTGGTCCAACTCATTGGGCTCCTTTCAAGAGACGTTGAACAGAGGAGGCAAGCCCATTCATGAAGGTTTTAGGAATCATCCGGAGACCAGGGTTGGCTTGGCTCCAAGTTTCGTCATGATGATTCGGGCTGTGGGATGTTAAGGGTAGTATAGAAGCCTGGATCGATTAAGGTTCCTTACACTGCACGGTACCAAAGAACCCCTTTCAAATTATTGAGTGCATGGGCAGTACGGCTCGAAACTGACTTCTTCTTCTTCTTGGCATGGGCCATGCGAACTGGCAAGTTGCTACAGTAGGCCTTCTCAAGGGCGGCAGGGTAGACTTACTTGGGATAAATCTAGATTCGGGTCGGGAAGCCTTTGAAGAAACATGCCTCTTGGTTTGTCGGCAAACTGATCTAGGTGGTTGTCAAAATTATGGTCCCTTTTTTGGGTCCTTATTATAATACTGCACCTATTATTTAAGGTACCCCAAAAGGGACCATAATTTTGACAACTACCCATCTAGTTACACGAGCACTTGTGTATCGTATTAGTGCAAGGTACACCCAAGCCGTTGTTTGTCAGAGATAAGCTCGAAGGCGACTGGGGCCACTGAATTGTAAACCCATGTCAAGCTGCGGGCTGTCCGTGATTATCAAAAAAAGTGGGTTTCGCATGGCAATGGAAATGGCCCTAGGCAATGTTGTCTGCTGTGGTTCTGCCATGTGTGATGCCATTCTGCGAGCACACTTGTGCCTAAATCAAGACAAACACTTACAAGTTCTGTGTTCATTCACTTGTTTGGTGCTTGTACCGTTTTGGTTACATACCAATGCAACGACCATTCACAATTCGTTTATCCACGCGTTTCAGGGTTGTGACGGGGTGTAGAGTGCTAGAGATTTGAGGCTAACAGGCTTTCGGTTTGGGCATACGCTGTAACAAGCAGTTACTTCCCTGCTATATGGTGATGGGACGAAGCCCTTTGCCCAAACGACCCTCCCCTGATGCCCCTGCAACCCTCAGCCATAAACGCCAAACCCCAAGCCCAATGCAGAGTTTAGGAAAATTTAGGACTCATGTAATATTGAGGGTCTGTAAACCCCGATGCCTCTCGCAATAAATCCGAAACTCCCGGCCCTGCATGAAAGGAATACCCATCCAAGCCGGATGGAACCCACTGGCCCCGATCGCTCCGCGTGGGTCAAGAAGACGCGGCCCAAAGCGCCCCCGCAGCTGCTGGCAATGTAGGAGCCTCACACTTCTCAAACTGCCCCAAGTACCCCTAAACTGTGCTATAAACTGAAGCCCGGCGTGAACCCAATACCCCAAACTAGGCTTCAAGGGTGCTCTATACCCTGTACCAACCCAAACTCTAAACTCTATTAGGGACCGTAAGCGCCCCAGCAAAGGTCACTTGGAAGGTGCTGGCACGGTAAATCGTCTGTGAACATTCGGAGCGCGGTTCCGCTGCATGCCGTCAAGCCAGCACTCCGGGGTTCATCTTAGCATCATAAAGCTTGTTGCACCGGCAAGCCAGCAAGCCGCCCACACACACACACACACAAAAACATATTCTCAGCGCTTGGGGTTCGGGGTTTTCACGTCTCGGGAAGCAGCCAAGTTAAACTCAAGCGGTCAAGCAAAGTAGCCAACACGATTAACAGCCAGGGGCCCCAATAAATTGAAATCTGTCTACGGTTGGGGGAGCGGGGGTATAATGGCATAGTTACGCTATGGACGCACAACCTTGGGGCATAGCATTCGTAATTCTTCCAACCCCTATATTCCCCAAGCCCTTGACCGGCCCTTGAGCCTACACCCCAGACCCTATATTAGTAAACCCCAAACCCCTAAACCTGTATTAGTAAACCCTATAAACCCTTTTCCCCTAAGCCCCTATATGATTTCTAGTACTACTATTATGATTATTACTACCATGATTACTATAAACTACGACTATTATTATTATTATCACCACTTGGATGCCAGCGCGACCGCGAGGCAGAGGCCGGGTGCCAGAAGTTGCTCTTTGGCGGAGGAACGGGCAATGGCCAGCTGCACCTGGCTAAGAAACAGTTTCTATAGGGTTTATGGAAGGGTTTAGGGTTTTTTTGAGTATCATTATAGGGTTTAGAGAAACAGCTTCTATAGGGTTTATGGAAGGGTTTAGGGTTTTTTGAGTATCATTATAGGGTTTAGGGCTTAAGTTTAGGGTTTAGTGCTGCGCCTGGCCAACAATGTTAAAAAAAGAGTTGGGAAAAGGGGTGTGTACAGCAGGGCTTCCTTCTTATGGCTTCATAAGGGTTCGATAGAGGCTTCGGGCTTAGGATCTTGCTTGATGGCGTTTAGGGTTGGGGTCTTAGGGGTGAGCGGGTGAAGTGTTCTTACGACAGGACTTTGAAGGGGAAGCAAAGAACAGATAACAGCCATGTCAAGAGTATCGACGACATCAGCATAAATATCACTAACAAGTGTTTTGTAGCCTTAGCGACAACAACACGCAAACACAACAACAGTGATTCCTTTCTGGTTGCCAATCATGAAACCCAAACCACAACATGTTTAATGAGAAGGACATGACCACAGTCTTTGATGCATAGGACTCGCGGTGGCTGCAAGCCGGATAATGGTTGGGACTCCGGTACTTCTCGTGCTTGTGTTTCGAAACAACCGATGGGCTGTTGAGTTCAGGTTGACTTAGACTTACGACTACGGGTTCATCACCCCAATAGTATAGACTTTGGCCCCAAAGTACTTATATGTGGACTCCTTTAAGGTCAAAGCATAAGCTTTCGGGTACATGCACCCTCAGGGGGCCATTTAGCGAAACTTTCCCTGGCCAGTTTCGTATACTCTCGCAGATGAAGGTGCGGGGCTCTGCGAGGTTTGTGGAGTCTGGAAATTCCAAGCAATGTACTACAGTTACTATAGGGCCTAAACAATGTTAGTAGGGATGTGGCGCTCATTGTACTTTCGATATAAAAAGGAACTCCAAAACAGCACTTGTATTATTTAGGCCCCTATATCAACCCTGCCTCCCCCGAAAAAACCAACTCGAGATGCCAGGCCATCACCCCTCGGGCACCTGAGGCCATGCCTCTTCGCCGCTCACCGCAGCAGCACCCGGAAGCCTCATAAAGCCAGGGGGGAGCCAACCATCTCCGTAGCAACTGTCATAAGCCCTAAACCCTACACCCTAGGATTTAGGGCTTAGGGGTGCAAGTTTGGCACTGCTCCCGCGAGTTTTGTTCAGCCTGACTGTTACATGACATTCGAGTTGGAAGCTGGGCATGTTGGGGTGGAGGGGAGCCATATGGGTGGTTGTCAAAATTATGGTCCCTTTTTGGGTCCGTATTATAATACGGCACCTATTATTTAGGGTACCCCAAAAGGGACCATAATTTTGATAACTACCCATATAGTCCATACATTCAGCAATAATGTAGCCACACAGCCTACCGTCGGGGTGCTGTCTGGAATGTGCATTGTCGCCAGCACACGTCCGGAGCCGGTAATAAACAGTTCTCTCGAATGCTGGCGCTGCTTGTATGTGCAACTTTTCTGGCTCCACTACTAACTACGACTACGAGCTGCTACGACTGCGACTACGACGACGACGACGACGACGACTACTACTACTACTGCTGCTGCTACTACTACTACTACTACTACTAGTACTACTAGTACTACTGGTACTGGTACTGGTACTAGTGCTGGTGCTGGTGCTGGTGCTGGTACTGGTAGTCCTACTACTACTACTACTACTACTACTACTACTACTACCACTACTACTACTACTACTACTACTACTACTGCGAGTGCGACTGCGACTGCGACTGCGACTGCGACTGCGACTGCGACTGCGACTGCTACTGCTACTACGAACAACTACGCAGTGACGACCACTGTGCTACTAGTGGGTACTAGGTAAGACATAACGGGTAGGCGAGATACATTGGAGGCTCCCAAACAGTCTCGGT